AACGGCTGACAGACAGGACAGCCCTCTTGGTGTCCCCTTGTCCATTCTGGCTGTCCAGGTGGGGAAGTGTCACCCTGACCCCTGCTGCTTGTTTGACCCTTGGCCCGAGAGGAGGGTTAGCAAAGAATCCTGCCTGCTAGGCAATGAGTGGTGAAAGTTAGAGTGGACCCACGAACAGCTAAGTCCAAGGGAGTTTTGAGAAATGTGGACTGAGCCAGAAAGAGAAGTCAAGGGGCTGAACATGGGGTGTGGCAAGCAGGAGGCCTGGGCCTGATCCCCAGCACCCTCAGGAGCAACCCTGAGCACCGCCAGGTATGGCCCAAAAGAACAGGGTGGGCAGAAGTCTTCAAACCATACAGTACAGAGGAGCATGGTAATGAATCTGCTAATGGTGCAGAGACTGTGGGGGCTGGGGCCTCACAATGCCACCTGCCCCTTTGTGGTGGAATCGAGGCCGATTTAAGGTTTAAGGGAGATTGCACTTGTGCTAGAGCACATGTGAGGCCCCAAGTTCAATCTCTGGCACCATCTGGCCCTCTGCATGCTGGTGTGCCCCCCCCACACACAATTCACCCCGTTGTAGATGAGACACTGCTGGGTAGTGAGAGCCACATAGCTGTTTACTAGCTGAGCTGGGACAGAACTCAGAGTTCCTGTCTCTCAGCCTTGAGGGTCCCTTTCCACATGAACTTCAGCTGCTCGAGGAGAGAGAGAGATGGGGGAGAGGGGAGAAGGAGAGGGAGAGAGGGAGAGAGGGAAAGAGGGATAGGGAGGAAGGGAGGGAGGGAGAGGGAAGAAAGAAAGAGAGGGAAGGAGGGGGAGAGAGAGCGGAAGAGAGAGAGAGAAGGAGAGAAGGAGGAGAGAGAGAGAGAGAGAGAGAGAGAGAGAGAGATTGCTAGACCATATCCAAATCCTCAGTCACTCACAAGTATTGGACTTAGGGTCTGTCCACGCATCAGAGACACTGCCCCCTCCCCAAACAAAACCTGGGACAGCCCCTGAGAGCAGGGCGTGGGTGTGTGGCCTTTGCCCCTGTTCCAGGTGAGTCACCACTCACCTCAGTAAAAGTTGACTGAAGAAATCTGTTTCGCTTATGGCTGTGTGACCCAGAAACTAAGTGCAACCCCTCAAAGAAGGGACGTGGGGTGAGATACAGTGAGGGGGTGGGGCCTTGCCGTGCCACCTGGTTGAGGAACTGGAAGGTCCCTCCTTTCCTCAAGCTGCCACTACAAGTTCAGCTGATTGGGCCAGCTGTGTGGGTGAACAGGCAGCCAGGCTTTGATGCCGGTACATCTTGCTGGACCAGCCGTGGGCACTACGCTGGGGTCAGGAAGAAGGACCGAACCCCAGGCATTAGTGTGAGACTGAGTCTGGCTGGAGCCTCGGGTGCCCACCAGTGCTTTGGAACAGCTCGGCATCACAGGGTCACCTCTAGGAAGTGGTGCTGAGACGAAGGCGACCCCTCCAGACACACATCCCGCAGAAGACATTCTCCTTGGGACTGGAGCGATAGTACAGCGGGAAGGGCACTTGCCTGGCTACATGGGCAGCCTGCGTTTGATCCCTGGCATCCCATATGGTCTCGAGAACCACCAGGAGTAATTCTTGAATGCAGAGCCAGAGAATAACCCCTGAGCACTGGCTGGGTATGGCCAAAAGAAAGGAAAACAGAAAGAAAGAAAGGAAGGAAGGAAGGAAGGAACGAATGAAAGAAGAAAGGAACGAAGGAAGAAAAAGGAAAATTTTAAATTTTAAAAGCTTTTGCCCAAACTTCATGTGCTTGTGCTACCACCTGCCCAGACCTCCTTTCACCCTGTGTGGACCCTGACCTGGGACGTGGATGTGGCCGTCCTGCCCTTGGTGGACAGTGTTAGCACGCTGAGGCGGGGTCTCCAAGAGTGGACAGTTGATAGATTAAGTTGTAGGAATGAGGGATGGAGAAGTAGAGGCCCAGGAGGGAGTAGGTCTGGCATCCCTCGGGAAGCTGGGGGATGTGGGAGGGGCCGGACCATGGAGATGGTCTTCCACATGAGCCCTGCAGAGGGCAGTGCAGAGCAGAGCTGACGGCCCTCGCACCTGTCTCAGAGGACAGCCGGGAACCCACAGACCCCCTCGTGGCCCTCTCACCCCCTTTCCCATTCTCTTATTTCTCTAAGTTTTGCTGGCGAGAAAGCAGAGTCGGGGCAACTCAAGGACATCTCCCTGCTCCGGGAAGGACAGGGCCACAGAGGCAGCCGGGCTGGAGGCACAAGCCCTGGGACAGGTGCTGAGCAAAAGGAGGTTTTCTAGAATTCCGCTGGCCACTGCAGTGCTTCTGTCCTGCCCACTGGCTCTACAGCAGCCTGAGTCTGGGCAGGCCCCCTCCCATGCGGCGCCTGCCCAGGCATCGATCGCTCTAATGGCCCGGCTCTGTGGTGGCTCGCCCAGCGGCCCCCTCCCCAAGCCTTCCTGTGGCCACTAATGAGCCGAGGTCCAGAGGCTCCAACTCATAAATGGGGAACCGGGCCCAGGGGGCCCTGCTGGGAAGTGAGGAGGCTGAGCATCCTGCCTCCCCCGACATCCTACATCTCGGGTAGGCTCTGCCATCGATCCATGGTTCACCGTGTGTGTGTGTGTGTGTGTGTGTGTGTGTGTGTGTGTGTGTGTTCTCAGAATCATGAATATTAACTGAACTGGCTGTAATATTAGCTGTTCCAGAATTAGGGTTCTTGCCCTGTGGCATGTCTCCAGAGTTCTTATTTGGGGGCCACACTTGGTGGTACCTGGGGGTTACACCCAGCGCAGTGCTCTAGCATCACTCTAGAGGTGACGGGAGATGCTGTGGTGCTGGGGATGGAACCCGGGGCTCCAGCATGCAAAGCTGGTGCTCAGCCCTCTAAGCCCTCTGCCCAGCAAAGGCAAAACCCCTAGAATTCTTTGGATTTGATTTTTGTGTGTGTTTGGATTTAGTTTTGTGGCCACACTTGGCAGTGTTCAAGGCTTACTCCTGGTGGGGCTCAGGGGATCATATGTGGTGCTGGGGATCAAACTTGGGTCAACTATGTGGAAGACCACCTCTGTACTATCGCTTGCCCCACCCCTCCAATTCTCATAAAGGAAGGAAATAGGGGTGGCAGTCTTTTTTGGAGGGGGCTGGGGGCTTGACCTGAAGGAGTACTCACGAGTACTGACTCAAATGGGATGGTTTCTTTGTGTGGCTGTGGGGGTTACTGTTGGAAATTTGGGGGGTTGGGGGGTGGAGCGGGGGTGCTCAAGGCAGTCCAAGCCTCCCTTAGCTTCACACTGTGCTTTTAGCTTCCTGGCCTTTGCCCCTACCCCCATGAGTGCAGGAGACAAGACCCTACCACCTAGAGCCCCTAGAAGATATGTCCTGGGGAGCACAGGTTCCTGGCCTGGGCTGGGGCTATAATCAGAGTCATAACCCATTAAAAAAAAAAAAAAAGCCTGGTGCCGGAGCAATAGTATAGCGGCATTTGCTTTGCATATGACTGACCAGGGTTCAATTCCCAGCATCCCATATGGTTCCCTATGCACTGCCAGGAGTAATTCCTGAGTGCAGAGTCAGGAGTAACCCCTGAGCATTGCTGGGGTTACCGAAATGCAAAAAAATTAAATTTAATTAAATTTAAAAAAAAGCCTGCCCAGAGCCAGACTCCAGTCAAGGCCAGCAGCCAGCCAGAGGACAGTGCCCTGAGCATTGCAGGGGAGTTGAGGGACATTTCACTCATGGTCTTGAATCCACAGGCAGCTTTCCCATCCCCTCGTAGAGACAGAACTGCCCCCAGCACGACAAACCACACAGACACAGCCCTGGGAGACCCTCGAAAGATCCTTGCCAGCACCCCTTGGGGGCCCAGAGGGCAGCTGGGTTTGGGTTCGAGGATCCTGTCAGGGACTCCGCTGCAGGAGCACAGGAGGCAGCGCCGGCTCCATCCCTCCTGGCTCCGGGAGATGTGTCCCATTAGTCATCAAAATAGAGCATCAGTGCTGGTGCCTCCCGGAACACAGGGTCCTGGTTCAGGGAAAATGCTCCCTGAGGCAGGAAGGGGACCTCTTCACACTCTTGCAGGGTCCCCCTCCAAGACTCTGGATCAGGGTCCGAGTTCTACAGACTGTTCCAGACGAGTCTCTCAGAGGTGAGACGGGTTTGAGGGTACCACCCCTCCTCACCTACCAGCAGATGCCTGAGCTCCCCACCAGGGCAAGGCTGTGGGCAGCCCTTTCCTCCCATCGGGTCCATTCTCCTTTGTAAGTGGGCTCGATCTGGGGAGTCCCTCTGACTTCAGCTAAGTCTTCAGCTGAAAGACTTAGCTGAAGAAGCCAGCCTGGGACTGCCCCCCGCCCCCCTCCATACATCCTTACGCCCCCCTCCACACCGCCCATCACACGCCTCAGCCAGGATGGTGAATGCCCAACTCCATCCCAGCCTTGCCCCATCTCCGTCTCAGCTTGGCTCCCCTAATCTGAACTCTCTGCCTTCAGGAGAAAAGGCCATTGTACGGGAGTTTTTGGCCCAGATTTTAAAAATACATTATTTCAAGGGACAGTTGGAGGGTTTCTCTTCGCCGGAGGCCAATCAGTACAGATCTTTCCAAGCTTCTCTGCAGCTCACACCTTTCAGAAGGACCCAGGGCCCAAGGCGCTCAGCACTCTGGGCTGCGTGTGTTTGTGTGTTTGTGTGTGGGTGTGCGCGTGGGTGCTCCTGGAGTAGGTGGCATTAGTAGAGGGGTCCTGGGAGATAAGCGGGTGTTCCCCCTTCTCTCAGACAGAGTCTGGCTCAGCTTAGCCCTGGTAGGGTCCTCCCTGGGCTACTTCTCTACAGCCCTCAGCCCGCTAAGAGCATTCACCCCGCCCTCCCCAGGCTGCTGGGCCCCTCCCGCCTCCATCAGCCACTGGACAGAGGTCCCCAGCCTGTGCCCGTGGGGGGAGGGAGGGATGGGTCCAGGCCAAGGTCACAGAGGAAAGCTGAGGTTCACGACGAGGCTTAGGCGCACACTCACCGCCGGGACCACTTGGCCGACGACCTCCCGAAGGGCCGCTTCCACAGCACCCCGTAAAGCTGCACTTTGGTGCTGATGTCCAGGGCGTCGGGGTCCGCCTGCTCCAGCGACGGCGAGGGAGACACCGAGTTGGACTTGGACGTGAACATCCTTCTTCGGCGGGGCTGCGCTGGGGCGCGGGGCTCCCGGGGCGGGGGGCGTCTCGTTGTGGGGGGAGGAGGGGGAGCCGTCGGGGCGGAGACGCGGAGCCGGGCGCTGGGGCTGCCGGCGGGCCGGGCGGTCACTCCTCCCGCCAGCGGCCTCGCCCCCGCCCTGGCCCCCTCCGCCCGCGACAGCCCCGATTTCGGGGGCCCCGATTGGCTGCGAGGGGCAGGTGAGCGCGCCGGGCCCGCGGCGCGCGCCAATCAGAGCGGCCGCAGGCCCGCGCTCGGGGCGGCCAGAAGGTCCCCGCGGGGCGCGGGCAGCGGGGGCCGGCTGGGCGGCTGCGGCAGCCGCGCTCCCCCCACCCCCGGGACGCCGCCAGCTGTCCCCCGCGGCCAAGTCCAGTCCTTGGGGTCGGTGAGAGGGTTTGGTGACAGCCGTCCGGCTGGGAGCCCCCACGCGGCCCTCCCGTGACTGCGTGACTGCGTGACCTGGCCCCCTCCCCACACTGCCCACCACGTAGGAGGTGGTGCCTGCACCTTGTCGGGCCAGGTAGGACTCGGGTAAGTGACCCTCACCCGTCCAGGGCGGGGATTTTTTCGCATCGCGCTGCGGCCACCTCCCGGATCAGGTTTCTCTTCCCAGAACTTGGCTGTCTGCGTGGGCCTTTGGCACCCGCGCCTGGCCCGGCCCGGCCTGGCAGGCGCAGTTTCCGCCCGTGATTGATCGGCGCGTCTGGCTCGCGCGCCCTGGCTCGGCTGGCCAGCGCGGGTCTCCGCGCGGCTCCGGGCCACCGGGCTCGCGTCCGCAGCGCTCCAGGCCGGGACCGGGCACCCCGCGACTGCCCGCCGCCGCAGTGTCCCGCCCCGGCTCGGGCTCGCTCTGCGGTGGTTGGAAGGGGCGCCCGGCTCCCCCTCGGTGGCAGGTGTAAGAGCCCCTATGGGAACCCCTTTGCAAACGGGTAGGCTGAGAGCCAAATCTTCTTACACGCTTGACTCACTTTCCCCCCAGGACAAAGTTAAGGAATGATTCTGTAATAAGCAAACCCTCACAGGACTTTCAAGTTTTCATCGTTTTTGTTTGGGAGTTTTGTTTGTTTGGGTTGGGTTTGGATAGGAGAGTTTCTCTCAGGGAATTTCCCTGCCTTTCTGCTTGCAGAGCTTGTAGTCAGTTTTCAGACTCTCTCTTGGCTCTACTTGCCAGGGCTTATTTGCTGAATATATACAGAGTGCAAAAATCACATCAAAGCAAGAGACAGAACATGTCCAGCACCCATAGGTTCTCTCGTGCTCTGGTCAGCGCAACTTCAAGAGTTCCTACTCTCTCCCTGGCTGAACACTTTCTTTTATCAACATTTGTGCCTATTTGGAAAATGCTGAATTGTGCCTACAGTGACACCCTCAGGAGCCCGTCCCGTGGTCTCACTCCCCACCTGCTTCGCTCATGACTTGACCTGGCTCCTCCCTGGAGGCACCTGAGGTTGGTTCCCACACTAGAGTATCTGCCAGGTCTAACCTTTTATGAATTAAGAAGGGATTTCCCCCCAAAGTTCCCATACCTGACAAAGTTTTTATCTTAACCTCAATCAACTCTGAGGTTTCCCAGACCCAGGTCATGTTCCCTGTTGCCCACTGCTCAAGGGGGCATCTAAATCCCTGTGCCCCTCCCCTGGCTCACAAGCCCCTGAAAGGACTCAAGCCAAGCTGTTTGGTTTATTTGGTTTGGTTTTGGGGTCACATCTAGTGGGGCTCAGGGCTTACTTCTAGCTCTGTGCACAGGGATTACTTCTGGCAGTGATCTATATATGGTGAGCTATATATGGGGAACTATATATGGTTCCAAGGATCAAACGGTGGGCAGTGTGTAAGGCAAGCACCTCATCCTCTGTACTCTCTCTGACCCCAAGCTTTTTTTTTTTTTGGCCACATTAGGTGGTGCTGGAAGACTCTTCCCAGATTTGCATTCAAAGTCATTTGCAATGCTGCTTGGGGGACCATGTGGTCCTGGGGATGAACCCAGGCCTCTCTCATGCAGAGCATGTGTTCAGCACCATTGCATTTCTCTCGGATTCTTTTAAAAAGTGACTTGAGAGTATTTCATCTGATGGGATTTTGTTTGGTGGCCATACTTGTGGTGCTGGGAGTGGGGGGTGGGACTGCCAACGTACTACTCTTACAGCGCCCCTCCTCCCCTGCCCCATGGCCCATCAGCCCTTGAACTACCTTCCTGACTCTCAGACCAAGTCCTAACTCAAGGTCTTGGGCCTGGAGGGACCTTGTGGGTGGAGACAGAACTGGCACATGGACAGGAACCGGTGCGTAGATGCAGGGTGTACACCTCACAATCTTAGGGCCTCCGCCTTCCCCTTCCAGATGGAACTGAGAAGTTATGATAGAAACCTGTGGCATGGGGGTTACTGATCAGGGACTAGACTTGGGAATTGTGGACAGCTATCGGAAAGGGTACACACAGGCATCAAGGAAAGTAAGACTTCTCCAGGGAAGGTGGTGCCAAAGGTATTGATGTCAGGCATGCGCAGAAGCTGCACTCACCTTCCCGAAGCGGCAGTGCTTTTGCCTAGAAGAGGTGGCAGTCGGGGGCCTAGGGGATAGTGGGCGGGGGTGGGGGTGGGTGGGAATCCTGGTAGCACACAGGTGGCACCAACAAGAGCTCTGTGACAGCAGCACCTGCTGCAGCTGGGTTTGGGGTAGCGTAGTCAGAAGCTCAATCTCGGGGCCAGGCCAGGTTTTCTAGCCCTGCCAGTATTTATTTTTTGCATCAATTAATTCCTGTTCCGCTTAATCGGGTCAGTACCGGCTTTGGCTGCTTGTAATACAGGACTAATGGTGAACTCAGGAGCCCTAGGAGGAGAAAAGGTAGGGATCATGCTGAAGGAAGTTCTGTTCAAAAGGGCTCAGGGACCCCGGATGATTCTCAGGAGAGTTTGTTTCTTTTTCTTTTTTTTTTTTGTGAGTCAGTTTCTTCAACAGTAGACTAGGGCACAAGTGTCTTGAGTGGCAAAGGAAAGCCCCCGATCTTTGCCCATTTCCCCCCTGCATACAGGGCATCTGAATAGACCTTAGCTAATATCAGTAAAGGCAAGATGAAAAAACCACCGGAGACAGCCTGAGATGAAGCAACCTCTAGGTACTTAAGTGGCTTTTTGCCTCCCTCTGTTAAAGTAGGCCATGTCTGCCTCAGATGAAGCCATTTCTGTGGCTTCTCTGCTGCAGCTGGTGGGAGGGCTGGATGCCTGGTATTTGGTTCTGCAGAAGATACAACAACTGGCTGCCAACCCACAGTGGCCCGACATCAAGTATGGTGTGAACTGCCCATCAGTTGGGACACAGGATCCTAGGAGTCCATCATCTTGTTCTGAGGGCAGAAGCATGTGCTTTGCATGAGAGAAGCCCTTACATCTCAGACCCCCTGAGTACTGGATCAGGTATTGTCCTCCACAACCCTCCAAACCCCCTCCCCCCCCCAAAAAAAATCCTTTTTATCTTAACCTCAGTCACGTTGATGAGAAAAGAAGTTCAAAAAGGTTGTCTGCTTTTTGAAGGCCACTCACCCTACTAGTCATTTCCCATGACATGCCAGGTCCTCGGATGTGTGTGGCATACGGGAGCACGCACGGTGAGACAGCAGATTCGCTGAGTCCGGCATCCCTGTCAGCTTTCTGCAGCACAGTCAGGCGAGGTGCAACCTGGGAACCTGCCAGCCTTCCTGCCTTTCCTGTGCTTGTCATTTTTCCCAACTGCCAGCTCGCCTTTGACTTCTTCACTAGCAATTTACTCAGCCCCTTCTGACTTCTCTGAGTACTACACAGGGCAAAGGCAGGAAGAGAACAAAGGTTCAGCTCACATTCCTGTACGGCCTCACTCCCCTTGGTCAGCCCAAGGAAAGGAAACAGGATGCTTTGGTGAAAAGTGCTAATAGAGGTCTGAGCACAGAGAAGGTATTGGGCAGGGCTTGCCCTGTTCCCGCGCTTGTCCCCTGAGATTAGCAAGTGAGCAGAGGGTACTGGAGGGTTCAGTAAGGAAAGTCAAGGGGCGAAGGAAAACCAGGCACCCTTGCCAGGCTAGGTAGGGTCTTCTGGGCAGAAGTATAATATGAGGCCAGACAGTACTAGCGAGTAAGGCATTCGCTTTGTGTGCAGCTGAGCTGGGTTTGATCCTCAGTACCACATATGGTGCTCCCAAGCCCTGCCAGGGGTGATCCCTGAACTCAGAGCCAAGATGAAAGCCCAGAGCACCACTAGGTATGGCACAGAAACCTAAAATAAATGTTCAGGTCTAGAGCGATAGAATAGTGGGGAGGGCATTTGCCTCGCATGCGACCAACCCGGGTTCAATCCCTGGCATCCCATTTGGCCCCCGAAGCACTGCCAGGAGTGATTCCTGAGTGCAGAGCCAGGAGTAACCTTGAGTATCACCGAGTGTGATTACCCCCAAAAAAGGCCAAAGAAATGAAATAAATGTTCAAATGGGAATGAGGGGTGTCATGGGCTCCGGGAAAGAAGTTTGGTGTACGAAAGTCATCAAGCTCCATCCTGGGTTGCCTGAGGGATCACTGGAGTGTGAGGGTCTGGAAACTGCAGACTTGGACATGGGGTCACCATGAGTGAGGGGTACCATGGAGCAGCCATGACTGTACCCCAGTTGGAGTTGAGGTGGGATTAATAATACACGTGCTAGGCCCAATGAGGATTGTGAATGTGGAAGAACAGAAGCCAGGTGGGGACCTTACAAGCACCTGTGTCCCTCAGCTCAGAAGCCGGGCACGCACCCCTCCTTCAGCAGACCATCTTCGCTGGTCAGTGTTCCTTGCGTCACTGTCTGCTGCCCCCTTGGGTCCTCCCACTCAGGAAACTTTCCCCACTGCCTACTCTGCTTCACTCTGCTCAGCCTTCACATCCAGAACCAGCCTCACCTTCCTCTGGAAGGTCTCCCCGAACCCCCAGCTTGGCTCTTGTCCCCTTGGGTTTTGTTCTCCTAGCACCCTGACCATCCTGGTCTCCCAGCACTTTACCTCACACCTGACCATGGTCACCTTGTTTGACTTCCTCATGGAATCACAAAATCTTTAAGGCCCAGAACTGACCAGCTGCCTCCCTTTGTGGATAGTCAGTACCTAGGAGGTGTGAATGAAGAGGTGAGTGGAGGAGAGGTGGGAGGACTCTATTCATCTATTCATCTGTTCACCTCCAGATCTGCCTCAGGGTAATAAAGGGTCTGTGCTCTCAGGAACTGAGAACCCTTTTTTTTTTTTTTTTTTGCTTTTTGGGCCACACCCAGTGATGCTCAGGGGTTACTTCTGGTTTTGCACTCAGGAACTACTCTGGTGCTCGGGGGACCATATGGCATGCCAGAAATCAGGGTTGACCAAGTGCAAGGCAAATGACCAACCCGCTGTACTATCTCTCCAGCTCCAGCCTGAGAACACTTGTAGTGTGAGAGGGCAGCACTCCAGACACAGGCAAACTGCAGTCCGTCCACCTCCTCCAGTGGCCCAGTGGCCCTCCCCTTTCCACTGGGCACCCTCTGCCCATGGCTCTTCAATCTACAAGGCTCCCAGTGTGCTTGAGCAGTCAGAGCAGGGCACACAGCTACCACTGCAGAAGAATTCAGAAGAGGCGGAAACGGCCTCCAGATTTTCCTGTGACAACTACTACTGTTTTGTGGTCCTGCGTCAGGAACCCGAAATCCATTAAATTCCCACCTGTACCCTCAGCTCCGAATCTGCTGACTCTCAACAGAACCTCAGCCCAGTGTAGACAAAGGCAGGGTTGAGGCTTTGAAATCAGGGCAGCGGTGAGTGGGAGGGGATAGGTGAGCACAGATCAGGAGGAAAGAAGTGCCCCCTTCAGGAAAGGCCAAATCATTCCACAATATATATTTATTGAGACTCCGGCTCCTGGAACCTGTATTTTAGCATGCAAGTGGGACAAAGCAGACATATAATTCAAAATAGATTAAAAGGCAACCAGTGCTACAGAAATAGGAGTGGGGAAGGACCACTGGTGGTTGGAGGAGGGATCGCAAATTCTAACCACAGTGGTAAGTGCGGGCCTAATTGAAGGAGTCACGGGATCAAGAGCTGAAGATGAGGGAGGTGGGTGGAGGGCATTCTAGACACAGTGACTACAGAGGGCTGCTGATTTGTCTGCATAGAAAAACTACACTGCAGGGGACCAGAGAGAGAGCAAGCACAGAGGGCAGGGCAACTGTCTTACACGTGATCAAGTGGGCAAAATCCCTGATACTGTACACAGTCCCCAAGCACCACCAGTAGAGATCCCGGAGTACAGAGCCAGGAGTAAGCCCTGAGCACAGTCAGGTGTGGTCCCCCCAAACCAAAACTACAATGCAGAGGGCAGCTCCAGCTGGTATGAATGAGAGACAAACCGGGTGCAGCTCAGTGGGAGAATGCTTGCCTCTCATGTGTGGGGCCCTGGGTTTTATTCTGGGCACCAAGGGCGAAAAAGAAACAAAAATGAGAATTGACTATTTGGGCTACACCTACATAGAAATACACATTTTGATTTCAGGACAGCAAGACGTAAAGAGCAGTCAGGGTGCTGACCTAACAAAGCAACCAGGTCCAGCGAGCAAGATGCAGGAGGAATGAATCTGGAGACGGCAGGACACATGCATGCCCATCCTTTTATCCACCATCATTTCAGGAAACATCACACTCCACAGGCACAACCTCTGTAACTAAGCTGGGGCACATGCACCACATACAGAAAACCAGCACAAAGTGGACCAGTAACAAATACCGAGACCTAAACACATACACAGGGGCCAAAGTAACAGATTGGTGGATAGGGCACTTGCCTTGTACGTAGCTGACCTGGGTTGGATCCCCAGCACGTCATATGGTCCCCCAAACCCTGGAGTGATTCCTGAGCACAGAGCCAGAGTAAGCCTTGAGCACAACCAGGTGTAGCCCAATCTCTCCCTTGCTCCCCCCCCCCAAAATCTCTAATGATAGACATGTCAATACATAAATGATACATAGCTGAAAATGGTGCTTATCTATATCTAAGTTAAAAAGCCAGGCTCCTGTGCTACAGTATAGAGGGAGAAAACACACCAAATTCACAAACTGCACTTCTATTACTTCTAGGCTTAGTTCTTTGTAGATGCTGCATTTCGTATAACAACTCTGCCTGTGGGAATAATAATGCTGTGACAAGTCTGTCACCTCTGTCTCTTTGTGGGGGGAGGGGTAAAGAGCTACCCTTGTATACAGTGTTTGCCAATACCAATGGCAAAGCAAAGAAACTCACTGATTTTTTTTTTTTTGAGGAGATGGTACATCATGTTCTTAATATCCCCTCCTCCTCTCCTTCCGCCTTGCCCTGAATCTCTTCCCACCACCCACCAAGACTTCCAGACTTTTCTGTGGTTGAAATGCGGGTCAAGCCTGGTGATCAAACAAACTGCTGAGAGAACGTAACGAGCCATCACATAAGGTACGCACTAATAAAAATTTAATATCATAAAACAAGTCAGAAAACAGCCAACAAATTAACCATTCACAATTAAAGTGTAAAGACAAAATTATAAGGCAGTCATCCATGGAATGATTTCATGTTTACAAAGGAGTCGAGAAAAGAACACTTAAAATTACTCTTCAGGCTACTGAACCAGGGGGACTTTAGTGTTTTCTCAGGAGATTTCCAAGGAGCTAGAAGACGCTATTGGGGAAAAAAGAGCTAAGCCAACCTCCCTGTGTTAGGCTGAGTATCTAGAGAATTCCTTAGGCTTGTTTAGTCCTTTCCTACAAGTCACAAGTCTCCCTCTAGTCTGCTGAAGTGTATCTAGATGTTGGGTACAAAGGGGCCACCCCCCTAGTTCTAAGTCCACAGCACCTCTTGCCGTGCTCTTCAGATGATGGGGGAGGGCATTCTGCACTGAGCAGAGGAAGACCACCCTGGAATCAGCTGCAGAAGGTTCTCGCCCAGCACTGCCACCGTTCTAGACGACTGCGGTCATCATCCAGGGGCCGTCACAGCAGGACAGCCTCTGCTGCTGTCGCCAATTCCATGGTCAGTAAGAACAAAGCTACCAGGCACCTGAGGGGCTCCACACACGCCAGTGCTGGTGTGCCCCCCCCCAGCTGCCATCCTTGAAAAAGGGGAAATTCAGGAGTGACACTTAGAAGCAGGCCAGGAAAACAAACAAACAAATCCAAGAATCCTATTTTCTTTTTCCTAGAAAGAACTTCCCAGTCTAAATGGCCATTTGTCTCTCCCCTAATTGTTCCAAAGGACAGGCACAGGGCTGAGTACTCAGCTGTTGTGAATAGGGACCGGAAAGGCTGGCTGAGGGGATGAGAGAGCAGAGAGTGTCTGTGGGGTAGGGGGGGAAGGATGAGAGGGGGGAGTTGCCGGTGCGCTACAACCTAGGACAGAGCCTTTGCCGAAGAAAGGAGACCCGGCAACTCCGTGCACAGGAAGCCCTGGAGAAGTGGCAACTGGAGAGCGAGTCACTGGGGAACGAATGAGCGGGGTAGATCTGTGGTGACTTTTCAACTTCATTTACCATTTAAGAGAACACTCAGGATCTGAAACAAAACAAAACAAAACAAAAAACCAAAAACAACAACAACAAAAGACTATTCCTACCAAGGAAAGGAAGTCGAATTCCAATTAGCTTTGGTTATGAGGAAGGACCATGCTTTTCATCATCAACTGCATCTCTTTGGTAGCCAATCCTTCTGCCTGCAAGCATGGCAGCAACTTAAAGATTGCTACTGTTTTCAATGGGTGAGCAGTAAGGCACCCACCTCAAGGGAGGCAGTTTCAAACAGGAGGAAAATGCCGTGGAAACATGCTAATCAGTGACCATCAGGGTGGCCGCTCCTGGGACACTGTCCACCTTGACCATGTTCTGCCCCTTCACGAAGGAGACCCCGGCTCTGCTGCCTGAGGATACGTCTGAGCCCTATTCGATTAGTATGGCTATTCCGGCCTGCTGACCAGGAGAGGAGCGAGTATTCCCGAGGCAGCAGCTTTAACATCTGGGAAAGCCTATGGCTTTGGAAGTGGAGAGGCCTTGGAGAAGTTTTGCTTATTAATATGAGGTCCAGGGGGGGAGGCAAATTTGGGAGTTAGATAGTTCAATCCTTGCCAGAGTGCAAAGCCCTACCCAGAAAGCTACTCTAGCCAAACTTTTTATTCCTGATGGCAAGGCACTGCTAAAGAGGCATTGGCCAGCAGAACAAATTTCTGATCACTGCATACAGCGGTGTGTGAGAGGAAGTGCAACTATCCAAACCAAATCAACCAGACATCAAAACGCACCATTTATTTAACAAAGTGAATTTCCAAGGAAAATCAAGGCAACTGTGTCATTTTAAAGGACCAGATGAAACACTGTGACTCCCGTGAGTCTGAGTTGTTATCAGGGAAATCACCTAAGACTCCCTGCAATGCCTTCCGTTGCTTTAATATTGTCTGCCATGGCTGCCAGCCACTATACAAAATCAGTATTCTATTTATGCTACTTTGGTCTCCAGCCAGCAGAGGGCTTGCAAGTTCTGCTTTCACAGCTGCTGACCCAGTGACAAACCTAGAAAGGAAATAAATCACATGCATGCTGGCTTATATGTCATATAAAATGTTTTACAAACTCTTAAATCTGCTGCCCTGAAGAAAATAGTCTTGGTTCCTTCTTTAGGTAATATGTTTTGAAATGATACAGAAAATCAAAATAAATTAATAACACAATATTATACACTTATTTGATAATACAAGGCTTACAGGGATTTTGGCAAATACGGGAAAATTCTCCTAGTTTGTTAAACACTTTTACTGTTTCAGCTGTTTAAATTACCAGAATATTAGTGAATGTAGCATCTCATATATGAGGAAGTTTATTTTAAAGGCTTAACAAAGCTGCATTTGACACAAAGGTAACTTCATTGAAGGGAATAAAGAACTGACAATATTATCTTCATCATCACAGTTCAAGAAGTGGTTGTCCTCATGAGAACCAAACTCATATGAATAGTTAATACTGCCACCAGCAGTAGGCAGCGCACTATAGGGAGAAAGGGCTGGAGGGGAAGGTTAGGAGAAAAGCATGAACAACATGAAGAGACAGGTGACATGATTTCAACTACTTTTAAATCAATAAGCAAATGCTTCCCATTTGTGACACATCTTGATTTTCTTTTCTTTCTTTCTTTCTTTTTTTTTTTTGGTTTTTGGGCTACACCCAGTGGTGCTCAGGGCTTACTCCTGCCTCTGCGCTCAGGAATCACTCCCAGTGGGCGCAACAGACCACATGGGATACTTAGGATTGAACCCAGATTGGTCACGTCCAAGGCAAATTCCCTACCCATTGTACCATTGCTCCTGCACCCATATCTTGATTTTCTGATGCTCACCTAGCTCCCTCCAGGGGCACCATGTATTTCTGTCAGAGGAATTGCTGGCCTGCTAAAATACTTTAAAAAAGAAAAAAAAAAAGGAAAAACAGAAATTGGTAATCTTACTTTTAAAAAGGTTTACTCTAAAGTTTTGGATAAACTATCCAAATTCATTTAAAATTTAACACCCCTTAATTTCCAAAGACACTTAGGGGTCTGTGCATTCTTGAAGGAAAGCCGAGGTCTGCACAGACTAGAACTTGGCTCCTCTCTGTAAGAATGTCTTCCAGACACAGGTGTTCTGCAAAGGAGAACTAGAAATGCTACCAACTCGCATTTCAAGTCACCTGGGAAGAAGCTAGTCCCCCTCTGCTGCAGAGAGGGACGGAGGAGAGGAGACATTCCCTTAACAGTACAGATCTCTTGAGTGTACTCAGCTTTCAGTGGGTCTTGCCATCACTTGCCCGACCCGGCCCCAAATTTCCTACAATCATCTTTAGCATCTAAGACACTGGGCATTAATTATGACCTCCTATCAAGGCATGTGGTACAGATGCTAAAGCACCAGTCTTACACGGTGAGATCCATGTTAAAATTCAGCAGATAGAGTGGCAGAGCCTTGAAGCTAAAAACAAAACAAAAACAAAAACAACAAAAAAAGGGAGAGAGATTTAGCTTAATTACAGAACACTGTACTTTCATAATTACAATTTCATTGAGTATGAAGTTCTCCACTTTTTCTTAAAACTAAATGCCATCTTCCCTGAGAATAGGGTTGAGAGAAACATCCAAACTCAAGATGCCATGGGCCTGTTACAAGACAACACAATGGAATGTCTCTATCCGTCACAATGTGTTGCTTCTACTCTAAGAGCTTTTCCATTCCTCCAGGCTTTCTCTCACCTCCCTCTGGACTCTAGGAACACAGGTGGAGATGGGCAAGGCGAGACAGAGACGGAGGAGGTGAGCAGCTGTTGGGTGCTGGCTGTTCTCACTGTCTGGCAAGCGGCCACTGTCTGAGGCTGGCCCCCTGGGCCGTTAGTGCTGGTGTCCTACCGACAGGATGAGCGGGATGAGGCAGCCCACAACCAGGGCTGCCACCTCCAGGCGGCTGAGGCCTTTCCCTCCAGCAGGGTCGGGCTTGTGACTGTGCCCCATTCCGCCCACCTCAGGGAGGACATGAACTGTGGCAACATAGAGAAAGGTCCCGGCAGAGAAAAGCATGGCCACCCCGGTGGCGTTGACCTCAGAAAGGGCTTCTTTGCTGCTCTGTGAATTGAGAGAAAGAGAAGGTAAGTATTATTCTAAATCAATAGCTTTATAAAGGCAGATATTAAAACCTAGACATTCCTCCAGAGTCTACTAAAATTTAATAAACACCCCCCATGCATCAGGCCTGAGACTGGTACTTGAAATGTGATCATAATTAAGATGAAGTGCCAGCCCTCACAGAGCTTAGCAATAGCTTATAAGCCAATCCTTACACAGCTTCAAGAGAAACTAAACTTAAAAAGAAAAGAGAACTTGAATTAAGATAATTATCTATTTAAGGGGGCTAGAGAGATAGCACAGCAGGTAGGGTGTTTGCCTCGCACGCGGCCAACCCGAGTTCAATTCCCAGCATCCCATATGGTCCCCTGAGCACCGCCAGGAGTAACTCCTGAGTGCAGAGCCAGGAGAAACCCCTATGCATTGCTGGGTGTGACCCCAAAAAGCAAAAAAAAAAATAATTAACTATTTAAGAAAAGAACATGTCATCAACGAAACTGTCATAAAATCTTCAGAATTATCAATACTGTCCTGTTACAAATTCTAAAAAGTTCTACAAACGTTACTTTTAAGTGAAGAAACAAATAGGCAAACAATAGTAAACACAAAGCACTATTATAAACCAGGATACCTCAATTAAAACACTGAACACAGAATAGACTGTAAGAGTTCTCCAGATCATAGATAAGCGAAGGCTAAGTCACTTACTTTACTTAATCCCAAGTATGTCACCATGGACATGACTGGTGCCGCCAGCGCAAAGACCAGTAAGTGCTTTCTGATTCGGTTCCGCTCTAGGCCAGCATGCATTAAGAAGGAAACCAGCCCAAACGCAGCTGGAGCCTGGACAAGAAAAATTGCCCCTGTAATTTCTACCTTATGAAGTACATGTCATTTCATGAATTCTCCTGTCCCCACCCCCCACCAAAAGAAAGAAAAAACAAACCACAAAACCAAACAAGCACAGTACCAAAGAGGTATCATGCATGTGTGCGTGCTTGCGTGCGTATGTGCGTGTGTGCGTGTGTGTGTGTATGTGTGTATTGGACATATAGTCTAGCAGGTAGGATGCTTCCTTGCATGTGGCCAACCTGGGTTTGATTCCTGACCAGAGCCAGGAGTAAGCCCTGAGTACTGCCAGGTGTTGGCCAACTGCCTCCCCCAACCCCCCAAGTTAAGAATACCAAAGTAACACTGTAGCATTGTCCTCCTGTTGTTCATTGATTTGCTTGAGTGGGCCCAGTAACCACTCCATTGTGAGACATGTTACTGTGTTTGGCATATCAAATACCTCATGGGTAGCTAGCCAGGTATGAACAAGTTACTATAAGTATATATAGTATACTTATTCTTGTAAGGATTGGCTTATAAGTTATTGCTAAACTCTGTGAGGGCTGGACCGATAGCACAGCTGTAGGGCGTTTGCCTTGCACGCAGCCAACATGGCCAACCCGAGTTCGATTCCTCTGCCCTTCTCGGAGAGCCTGGCAAGCTACCGAGAGTATCTCGCCCGCAAGGCAGAGCCTGGCAAGCTCCCCGTGATGTATCCGATATGCCAAACACAGTAACAACAAAGTCTCCAATGAAGACGTTATTGGGCCCGCTTAAACAAATTGATGAACAACGGGAGGACAGTGACAGTGACTATAAGTATAGAAATCTGTAGAGACTGTATGAGTCTGTACAGATGACCATTTAAAAAAGAAAAAACAACTCATGGAGCTGGACAGATAGTATAGGAAGTAATGTTCTTGCTTTGAATGCAGCTGCTTAGGCAACAGCCCTGGTGTGATCCCTGGCACTGCATATGGTCCACCTGAACACTGCCGTATGTAGCCCCAAATCCCCACTCCAAAACAAAACGAAATAAAACAAAACAAAAAGACCCTCACAAGTTTACAAAATGCTGCAAAACACCATCATCACATTGATTCAAATCTCCCAGAGTTACAGTCAGGGTGATATCACAATGGGTAGGGCACTTGCTGGGTTCAATCTCTAGCATTCCATACGGTCCCCTGAGCACTGTCAGTAGTGATCCCTGAGCTCAGAACCAGGAGCAAGTCCTGAGCACAATAAGGTGTGGCTCCATAATCCTGAACAACAACAACAAAAGTCTTCCCATATCAAGGGCAGGAGAGACAGGGACTAAAGTATAAGGCCCACCCCGGCTTGACTCTAGGCACCACATGGTGTGGCTTGGATAACTCCCAGCACCGCAGGCCAAAGCAGAACTGCAGTCTGCAGCCCTCACATTAAACTGCAGGCTGGTTCGCCAAGACTCACGGGAGGGGGACTGCATACAACGAGAACCACCTGGGACACTCCCCCCATCCATGAAAGAAGTTTTCCTATTTCAGAAAAAAAAAATTTAATTATGAACATACTCAATATCAATTCTTACACCAACATTTTTTTCTTACCTTATGTAGCATGATTGCCACGAACACTATTAACTGGACGCTAGTCTGTGAAGTAGAAGCTGCAGCTCCCAAAGCAACACCGTCAGCTAAATTTGGAAAAAGTGAAACATAAAAGACTATAAATGACAACAACTATCCTAAGTGTCAGAGTTGAATCTGGGCTTTCAGAGTCAGGGAGAGCAAGACTTAACACATGGAGTACTACTAACAATTCTCAACCTTAGCCTTCTCTATCTAAAACAGGCACAATCAAGTTTGTATTTGTAGAGTTTTCATCAAGGTTAAGTGAGAGATGATCGATTAAAAGGTTTATTTAGATCCTGATCTCTGGGCTGGAGTATCCACTATGTGAGCTAGAGTGTTGTCAGTGCGAAAAAAGCCTAATGCTCCAAATTTCACTGCTTAATTAAATTCCAATAAAGAACTTCAAAGAAGGCAACGTACATATTTTAGATTAAAAAAAAACTGCAAAAAAAATTAAAAGGGAAGATGTGACAACAGATACCACAGGTATTCAAAGAATCATCAGTGATTACTTTGAAAAATATTTATGCCATGAAATGAGAAAATCTAGAAGAAATGGATAAATTTGTTGACTCCTCTAACCTTCCAAGATTGAACCAACAAGATATGGAGCACCAGAATAGACCAATTACTATTGAAGAAATTGAAATGGTAATCAAGTCTCCAAAAAAAAATAACCCAAATCCCAGTCCCAAATTTTGATTTAACAAGCGAGTAAATCTTCTTCCAAATCTTTAAAGAAGAGTACTTATTGCCAATCCTTTTCAAGCTCTTTTAGAAAGTAAAAGAAACAGAAACCCTCCCAAACATCTTCTGTGAAGAAAAATTACCTTGATACCAAAAGCAGATAGAGACAGCACTAAAAAGGAAAAATTACAGACTGGCATCTCGGATGAAAAAAGACACAAAGACTCTCAACAAAATACTAGCAAAATCAAATCCAACAACATCAAAGAGTTCGTACACCATGACCAAGTGGGAATCATCCCAGAGATGCAAGAATGATTCAACATGCACAAGCCAATTAATGTAATAAGCCATATCAGTACAAGAAAAATTAAAAACCATATGATCATATTGATAGTAAAAAGTAAAGTAAGTAAAGGCCCTCCCGTTGATCATCGATTTGCTCAAGGGGGCCCAGTAACGTCTCCATTGGAGACTTTGTTGTTACTGTGTTTGGCATATCGAATACGTCACGGGGAGCTTGCCAGGCTCTGCCGTGCGGGCGAGATACTCTCGGTAGCTTGCCAGGCTCTCCGAGAGGGGCAGAGGAATAGAACTCGGGTCGGCCATGTTGGCTGCGTGCAAGGCAAACGCTCTACCGCTGTGCTATCGCATATTGATAGAAACAGAGAAAAACATTGCCAAGATCCTGCACACTTTCATGAGTAAAAAAGAAAACTCTCAAATTCACAAATGAATCTCGGAAGAGAGCAACATGCTACACAGATATCTCCCTACCTTGCTCCAGGCTGATTTCATCTGGGCACCATGGATGGGCCAGGTGTATCCCCCCACCTGTACCAAAAGAAACCTGGCACCCACAAACCTCCAGAACCCAATCATTGCCATGCTCACAGGCTTGCTGTGAGCTCCCCCCCCTCCCCCCGCCCCGTGCATGAGATTGAATCTGCTTAAAAACCCAGGTCTGTAGGACTTGTGACTGAAATCTCCAGGCTTCCAGAGTTGGAAATGGGACCCCTCCTCCCATTTCTCTGTGCTTCCAGTTTCCTGGCAGCCACACCCATGAACTGCCTCTGGGCGTCATTAAGCACATTAAGGGTCAGTATTCAGAGACTTAAAATGAAGTAGACAGCAACATGCTATAGATGCCTCTGTACTCCCCAAATCACATCCAGTTTAAAAATTTAATTCCAGAGGGTATGGTGCCGCCAGCAGGTCAATCTGTACCTGTGAGGCGAGTGCATCAGCAGCCTGATGGTGCCTTCAGACTTCCAGATACCCCAAAATTGCTGCTGTGCCTTTGGCCAGACCCCAAAAACTTGGAGCAAAGTTTACCAAGAAAGTAAACAGCCAAAAGTTAGGTATGTGGGAAACACACCCACAAACCACCTCTGGCTCAGCTATATACTTGGAGGCATGGCCTCTCTTGGTTCCCGATTGAACTGCTTAATGGCCATGATACCAGAGACTCAGACACAAATCTCGAAACCCAGTGGCTTTTGGCAGAAATGTGTCCGGTCCCTGCAGTAGGTTACTGGTTCTGGGCCAACCCAGGTGGGAATAGGTTTTGTGCCTTGGCCTGTTCCCCCCGGCGGCCTGTGGCCGCCATCCTCCAGAGGCCACTGTACAGTCAGGTTTGGGCCCGCAGTGAAGAGACATTTTGAGCCTCACGGGATGGGGGGGAGGGGGGCTGTCCTCCTCACCCCAACGAGACCCCAAGTCATCGTCCACGAACGGCCTCTCTGGCTCCTGATCAAGATGCTCAATGGCCATGATCCCAGAGACTCAGAAACAAATCTCGAAACCCAGTGGCTTTTGGCAGAAATGCGTCTGGACCACGCAGTAGGTTACTGTTGCCGGGCCACCCCAGGGGGGAAAGGGTGCTGTCCTTCTCCCTGCATCCCCCTGGCGGCTCGGTGGCCATCATCCTCCAGAGGCCATTGGACAGTCAGGCTTGGGCCCACAGTGACGAAACTTGTTGGGCCTCATGGGATGGGGGTGGAGCCGGGCCTGTCCTCCCCATCCCAACGAGACCCCAAGTCATCGCCCACAAATGGCCTCTCTGGCTCCTGATCAAGCTGCTCAATGGCCATGATCCTAGAGACTCAAGAGCAAATCTCGAAACCCAGTAGCTTTTGGCAGAAATCCCTCCAGATTTAAGTGTTTAAATTTTGGAATTTCAAAATCACATTGCCCTACTGCAGCCACACGATATCATATGTTATTCATAATCAGCAATAGAACACAAATTGTCTACTGTTGCCTTTTCAGCAGATCTGAGTGTTGGGGTAAAATCTCAAATAATAATGGTGGGTCTGGTGTCGAAATATTGAATGTGACCAAAGTAGAGAGAGAGTAATGTGGAAATCATCTGCCCCACAGGTAGGAAGAGGGTGTGGGATGGGGGTATACTGGGGTTTTTGGTGGTGGAGAATAGGTACTGGTGAAGATACAGGTGTTTCTTTGTATGACCGAGACTTAGACCCGAAAGCTTTGTAACTGCTGTCATGGTGATTCAATAAATAAAATTATAAAAAATGAAAAAAAAATCTAGAAAAAAAAACCAAAAAACAAAACAAAAAAAAAATCTAATTCCAGTTGTAGCACCCTAAGTAAAATTTTAGAATTCCAGGAGTGTCTGACCACATGATATCTCATACACTATGTATGTTACTGATATACCAAGAGTAGCACACCATTATTTGACAACCAATCTTGATCAAAAATATATATATAAAAGCACACAAGGTTCAAACTCTAACAATATGTTAGTTAGTGATCTTTAATACGAGGGGAATGGATCCAAAACAATATACAACAATTTTCACACTTTTCTCTAAGGAAACTTTTGAATTATTTTTTAGTCAATTATTCATAACAAACAATACAATAAATTATTTTATCTTTTATTATTATTAAAATATCTTCCTTGGGTGGTGGTGGGTGGGAAAATCTGAAATAATGGTGGTGGGAAGGTATAGTGGTGATGGGATTGGTGTTGAAATATTGAATGTAATCAATTACTGTGTACAATTGTATAAAAATAAAAATTTTAAAAGAATTTAAAATTTTTTTAAAAAACTCCCCAAAGGGGTTGGAGAGATAGCACAGCAGGTAAGGTGCTTGCCTTGCACCTGGTCAAACCGTGTTTGATCCCTTGTGTTCCATATGGTCCTTACCCACTGTCCTATTTCTGGCCCAGTAAACTTTCTAAAAGGGTCAAGCAGAATGTATTTTATGCTTTACAGACCATTGGTTTCTTTCAACTATTTAACTCTGCTGTTATTGCTGATAAGACGACACTGGTAATATGCAAAGAGGAGGGAATTGTTTACAAATAAAAAAAACTTTTTACTCTAAGTTTTTACTGAAAACTTTTTACTGAAATCTGAATGTCATGTACTTTCAACATACCTGGAAAAAATTTTCTCCATCCATTAAATAATTAAATCTGGGGTTGGGATAGTTCAGTGATGGGGTGCATGCTTCACATTTATGATACTCTGGATTCCATGGCATGCACATACAAATAAAATACCACTCTTAGCTTGTGAATCCCTGACACTAAAAGCACATCAAGGCTTTGGCAGGAGTGTGTGTTAGAGGACTTCCTTAAGAAACACTTTACCAGGGGGTATGGTGCCGCCAGTAGGTCAGTCTGTACCTGTGAGATGAGTGCATCAGCAGCCTGATGGCACCTTCAGACTTCTAGATACCCCAAAATTGCTGCTGTGCCTTTGGCCAGACCCCAAAAACGTGGGGCAAAGTTTACAAAGAAAGTAAATGGCCAAAAATTAGGTATGTGGGAGACACACCCACAAACCACCTCTGGCTCAGCTATATACTTGGAGGCATGGCCTCTTCGGTTCCTAATCAAACTGCTTAATGGCCATGATCCCAGAGACTCAAAAACAAATCTCAAAACCCAACGGCTTTTGGCATAAATGTGTCCAGTCTCTGCAGTAGGTTACTGGTGCTGGGCCACCCCAAGTGGGAATAGGTTTTGTGCCTTGGTCTGTTCCCCCTGGTGGCCGCCATCCTCCAGAGGCCACTGTACAGTCAGGTTTGGACCTGCACTGACAAGACACACGGGGCCTCACAGGATGGGGGTGGAGCCGGCCGTTTCCTCCCCACCCCAACAAGACCCCGAGTCACCGCCCACAAATGGCCTCTCTGGTTCCTGATCAAACTGCTTAACGGCCATGATCCAAGAGACTCAGGAACAAATCTTGGAACCCAGCAGGTTTGGGCAGAAATCCCTCCAGATTTAATTGTTAAAATTTTGGAATTTCAAAATTGCACAGCCACTACTGCAGCCGTGCAACATCATATGTTATTCATAACCAGAGATAGAAAACAAATTGTCTACTGCTGCCATTTCAGCAGATCTGAGTGTTGGGGTAAAATCCCAAATAATAATGGTGAGTCTGGTGTCAAAACATTGAGTGTAACCAAAGTAGAGAGAGAGTAATGTGGAAATCACCTGTACTACAGGTAGGGGGAGGGTGTGGAATGGAAGTATACTGGGGTTTTTGGTGGTAGAGAATGGGCACTGGTGAAGGTACGGGTGTTTCATTGTATGAGCAAGACTTAAACCTGAAAGCTTTGTAACTGCTCTCATGGTGATTCAATAAATAAAATTATAAAAAATGAAAAAAAAAAAGTAAGGTGGAGTTCATGTCCAATTCAATCAGCTAATCAGTGGCTGAATAAATAGCAGTACTCCTACATTAAAATAAAAAAAAAAAAGAAGCACTTTTCTGAAAGGGAGTCAACTGTTTACATTCAGGTGGATGGTCCTTGTTAATAGAAACATTCTATTCTATTATTATTATTCTATTATTATTAATTCTACCTCCCACTGGTGCCACAGAAAAGAAAAGGCTTCCACTGCAACCCGCCTACCTGCAGCATGGACGACCAGGCCCAGTGTGGTGGTGATTTTGGAATTGCCAGATCTTGCTGTTTCTGGATCTGAAATAAAAAGAAGCAAGCCAGTCATTAAACACTGTGATACACAAATTATTAGAATAAAGATCTGGAGGTGGAAGGATTATTTGAACGCTCTTGTGTGTATACTATCATTTTCTTTACTACCTTTCCCCCTCTGTTTCAAACACACAAGCTTCCCCTGTCTGGCAATAGTACGACAGTAGAAAGTCAGAAATTCTTCATTTGATTCTATTTCTCCTGAACAATGTAAAAACCCGCTACCTCACTGTCTCTACCTCTTCATGGAAAATGTGCTGTGAGCCTCTGATCAATTCCTCCTAGCTGCTCCTCTCTCCCAACCTAAGACTTTACTATAACATCAAAATGACTATTACTTTTGCCCTTCTCTCCACTGTTTTCTTAAAAAAAAATCATTTGGGCCACATCACAGTGCACAGGAATACTCTCTGGCAGTGCTCAGAGGACTGTATGTCACGTGAAGGATCGAACTAGGACTTGCGACATGAAAAGCAAATGCCTTACCTCCGGTGGTATCTCTCCAGCCAGGAGGAATAATTCTTTATTTTCTTTTATGGTTTTGTGCTTTTTAAGAAAACCTGCCCTGCAAGAGCTTGGAGGTTGTTCTGATGGTACTCAGGGGATTAACATGGTGCCCAGGAAACCATGCAGAGCAAAGACCAAACCTGGGCATCTGGCACGCAAGACAAAGTCTTAGCCAGCTGCACGACCTCTCAGTGCCTTCTGCATTTTATTGCCACCATCTTAGCCTAAACGGCCATCAACTCATACCTAAATTAGCAGAAACTGGTTTTCCATTACCTGCATTTTCTTAAATCTAAATCATCTTACACATCGTTGCCAGACTCATTTTTCTGAAACATCACCTTCCTGATTTATCAAGTTAAGAATGTACTGCTCCAGGGCTGGAGAGGAGAGAGGGCACTTGCCATGCACACAGCTGACCCGGGTTCAATCCCCAGCACAGCATTTGGTCCCCTGAGCACAGTGCCAGGAGTAAGCCCTGAGCACAGCCAGGTCTGGTTCCAACAACAACAACAACAACAACAACAAAAAGATTACTGGGGAAACCAGGTATTTGTAGACCAGGTTACCCAGAGGGCGGTGGGGTGATGGAACCTGTGAGGTTTATCTGAAACCACTCTGGAGTACAAGAGACTTTCATGAGGGCTCGTAAAGTCCTACCAGTTAGCACAGCTGATACCCCAACTCTGTCTGCTCAGAGGGCGGGTGGGGCTGGTTTTCTTGCTCAGCAAGTGTGTGCTGGTGACTTAGAAAACACAAAACCAAAATAAGAAAAACAATGTACTGCTCCTGATTGCAGAGATACAGAAGGAAAGAAACTTGATTTGCATGTGGCCAGTTTGGGTTCTATCCCCAACATGACATATGGTTCCCTAAGTATTGCCAGGAATTACTCCTAAACAGAGCCAGAAATAGACTCTTAGGATACTACATGTGCTTCAAAATCCAAAGGGCTTAATAAAAAATAAATAAATAAAAAATAAAAGGAATGAATTGCTTTTCTAATTCAGTCCAGGAGTCAGAGCAATAATACAGTGGGTAGGGCATTGCCTTGCATGTGGTCTGCCTGGATTTGATCCCCAGCAACCCACATAGTCCCCCAAGTCCACCTGGGGGGGAACACAGAGCCAGGAGTAAATTCGGAGCACCACTTGCTCTGGGTGACCCAAAAACAAAAAAAACAAATTCAGTCTAACCTACTTTATTAAATTACTGTACCCCTTTTTAACAGGTATCACCTTATTTCTCACTATTCAGTCCAGTTAAACCAGTTTCTTTGATACCCTGTAACAAAACATACTCATTTTCCTTTCCACAAACCCGCACCGAAGTCTCAGCATATGCTGAACTCAGCTTGAACAGTCCAAAACTCAGATATTGCTAAAGTTTATTTGTAGGACCACTTCAAGAACCAAAGACTAATTCCATGTATAAATAACTCTGCCTGTACCAGGAACCTGTGTTTTAGGTGAAAATGGTTTTTCATTAACTGTGTCTTATATAAATCCAGACTAACAGTAATTTTTACAGAATAAAAAATGTCCTTGGCTGGGGAGATAGCTTACCAGGCTGGAATCGATGATCTGCATGTGGGAGCCCCAGGCTTGATGCCCACCACAGCATGTTCCCCTAGGCACCACGAGAAGTGAGCCCTGAGCACCACACTGTAAGCAGGCCCCAAACACTGCTGGATGGTGCCCCAGCCCTCCAGAATTCAGCACAGATTTAGATACCCAAGGGGAGAGAGGCAGTACAGCAGGAAAGGTGCTTGCCTTGTACATGGCCAGTACCGTATATTGTTCCTGAGTCCCACCAGGAGTGATCCCTGGGCACAGAGCCAGGAGAAAGGCCTGAGCACTGCCAGGTGTGGCCCCCCAAACCCAAACAAAACGAAATAAAACAAATCAAATCTGGATACCCAAAAGTTGCTTAATAAATCTCTGACAGTGAAAAAATTGTTATCATCTACCTTGATCATCTGATACCCCGTTACTCATCGATTTACTCGAGCGGATGCCAGTAACATCTCCATTCATCCCTGTATCTACCTGTATTACATAAATTGTGCTTTTTTAAAGGATTGGACATTAAAGTGCCAGGTGAAATGACAGAGAGACACTAGTCCAAAAAGTTGCCAATGAATTTGATCTTGAGGAGCCCAGCATACATAAGCAATGGTTTACAAGAACAACAAAGCATATACAAAGGAAACTAACAGTGTACCTTAAATTAACACATTGCAATGAAGGGGTGTTAAAGATGCTAAGCTCCATGAGACAACAAACATTTCAGTATCACTTCAACCTGTAAAGACAATTTTATTTCACCATACAAAAAATTTCCTTGGCTTTCTTTTTAGTCCTGTGATCTAATAATACACAGTATCCTAAATAAAAAGTAGTTTATCTTTTTTTTTTCTTTTAGGCCTCATGCAATGCTCAGAAGGCTCTGAGGCACCCCCATCCCCAGTCCAATGCTTGCCGGTGACATGTTGCTGCTCGGGCCTGGGGCCACCACAACCACGGGAGTGACAGCCAGTGGTGCTGAGAGGAAGCAGAGCAGGGCTGGGGACTGAAGTTGGGGTCCCATATACATTTGCGCGATCTCTTGTTCCCTAAATACTTATTTTCCATGTTTAGAGGAAAAGACTATATTTCAGTGGAAGTTTAGTGAATGAATTTTACTGATACTTAATAATACATAAAACCATAATTGGCAAAAACAGGTCATCAGAAATGAAGCCAACTTTGGAAGCTGGCAGCATGTTGGGGGAAAAGGCAGCTTAGATGGAGAAGGGAACACCAAGTAAAGGGAACAGCACGCTCGGGATGGGAGATGCGTGCTGAAAGTAAACTATAGACCGAACACGATGGCCAATCAATGCCTCTATTGCAAACCATAACACCCTAAAGGAAAGACAGAGCAAAAGGGAATGCCCTGCCACAGAGGCGGGGTGGGGGTTTAGTGGTGGGGGGGATGGTTTGGGGAGGTGGGAGGGTTACTGGGATCATTGGTGGTAGAGAATGGGCACTGGTGGAGGGATGGGTACGCGATCACTGTATAACTGAAACCCAAGCACGAAAGTTTCTAAGTCTACAACTGTATTCCATGGTGTTTCACTAATAAAAATTAAATTAAAAAAAAAAAGAAAGAGGATCCTCCCAGGGTGGGAGAAGCATGCTGAAAGTAGTCTATAGACCAAACATGACTGCCACTCAATGCCTCTTTTGCAAAACACAGTACCCAAAAGAAGAGAGAGAGAACAAGGGGGAATGCCCTGCCACAGAGGCAGGGTGGGACGAGGGGAATGGGGGGTGGAAGGGATGCTGGGACCCGTGGTGGTGGAAGATGGGCGCTGGTGGAGGGATGGGTACTTGATCATTGTATAACTGAAACCCAAGCATGAAAATTTATAAGTCTATAACTGTACCTCATGGTGTTTCACTAATAAAAAAAATAAATAAAAAAAAAGAAAGAAAAGAAATGAAGCCAACAAAGTGAACTCAGCGATTAAACAGAAGGAATGCTACAGGAACACTCTCTCCACCCAATTCTTTATATAAAGACTGCAAGGCACTGATGGACCTACAAATGCATCTGAAATAAAAATGCACAAGAATCACAGGAGACATGTCAACCAGGTCCCTGAAGACAGCTGTGTAATAGAGCTGAAGTCAGATACCATCTAACAGAGTGTTCCTCCCATCTGTTCTTTGAAATAAAGCACATAAATAAAACCACTTACTCCTAAATCAATCTTCCAATATAAGACAAGTCAAATATAAATTGAAAAGAGTCTATGGGGAAAAAAATGGAAAATAGTAAATTCATGAAAATAAGAAGCGTCTAGGGCCTGTGAGGGCATGCAGAGGGGCTGGAGGAAGCCGGGGTTGGATCCCTGGCACCACTCAGTTCTCCCAGCACTGCTGGGGAGGGCCCTGGAGTCCCCCAAGCAATGACAGGTGTGGCCCCCCAAATAAAAATAAAGCCTTTCTAGATTGAGAATATATTTTGTTTTAAGCTTCATTCCATTATTTTATGAAACCTTTTATTTGAAAGCATTTCCAATCAAGTTTCAAGACTTTATAAAATATTCAATTCCCTTCTCTCAGGCTCACTAACGTCGAACATTTTGCCCCATCTTCTTCACTTGTGCTTATGTTCTCATTCTCCAAGCCACACACACACATACATGCAATGTCCTCCTTACATGTATTTAAGAGTAAGTTGTGTACATCAGAACCCTATCCTCCTAAAGAATTCAGTGTCTACTTCCTAAAGGGACAGATTATTTTCTTACATCATCATGGTATGGCTATCAAGCTCAGTAAATTTAACACTGATACTTTTCCCTAATTTCTCTTGTATATTCTACATTTGTCAGTTGCCCATGTCCTTCAGACCATTTTTCCTTTCAAGAAAGAATTCAGTTTAGAAGCATACACTGCACTTCATTGTTATCTTTTTGTTACCTTTATTCTAGAATGTTGTTTTACCCTCCTCTACCTCCTCCTAGAACATTTTGTAAGTAAATACCTTCGAAGAATATGTTTTCCTCCCTGCAACTTTTCTTCTGTTTCAACCCTTCCTTTTAAATTTGTCTAATGCACCCTTAGATTATTTACTATACATAGTTGATAAAACACTACAGAGGTGATATTTCTCAGGATATCACATTTATAAGCACAGGATCTGCTACTTACTGATAGTGTGAATTTTGGATTATATCCAAGATTGCAAATGCTACCTTACATATCAGCAGTAGGGCATTAGCCTTGCGCGCAGCAGGCCTGGCTGAGCCGGGTTCGATTCCTCCTCCACTCTCGGAGAACCCGGCAAGTTACCGAGAGTATCTCGCCCGCACGGCAAAGCCTAGCAAGCTACCCGTGACATATTCAATATGCCAAACACAGTAACAACAAGTCTCACGATGGAGACATTACTGGGCCTGCTTGAGCAAACTGATGAACAACGGGAGGACAGTGAGTGACAGTGACAGTGACCATATATATATATATATATATATATATATATATATATACACACACTCTGGATTCTATTATATTCTTCTAGACTATTATTTTTGTTTTGCTTTTAGTATCTTGATTTGGCAACTGCAAGCTCTTGTCAACTGCAAACTCTGTCTTTTGGTCAGCTGTTTAAATCTGTTAAATTTTTTCTTCAGCTGGGCCGTCTGGAGTCTGCTCATCAATTCAAGGTTCAAGGGCTGTCAGAAACTTGGGCAAAATTTATACATAGCGTCTGAGGCAGAATCGCTCCATACCTCTCCTTTCTAGAACTCACCAGTGGTTGCAGTTCCCCAAACTCTTGTCTTCTGACTGCTTAAGCCAGAAAGTCAGTCTTCTAGCAGAGTTCCAGCTACCCAACAGGCTAATTGCTAAATGTGGTAAAAACAGGAAAATCCCTACTTCCAATTTGACTCCCATACTGAATTTGCCTGTTTTTCATCACTCTCCAGTGTCTTCAGGTGGTGATTTTTAAGTTGGTCCAAAGTTTATAATGATCTGTAAAGAGGCTGGTCTGATAGAAACTTACTTGGCCACACTGAAAACAGAACATAAGTGACATTAGTTTTGATCAGCTGGTCAAGGTTATTTTCTGATTTCCCATATACTTACTGCTCTTTTCCTTGAAACTAATTATGTAGATTAAAATTTACTGCCAATACTTGACATTCATTAATGACTCACAACTGAGGTAAATTTCATTAGGGTTGCAAAATGGTATTTTCTAACTTAGCAATTTTTCCAAACTAGTTGACATTTAGCAATCAAATGTTAATAAGTACCCTTTTACTGATCTATCTTTATACTCATTTCTCTATCTGAATGGGTTCATCCAATCTCACTTTCCAAAAACTTACACTTCATTATTCTTAATTAGGGTTTATTCCCGACTCTGCACATGATCACTCCTGGCCGGCCTTGGGAAACCATGCGTGAGCCAGGGATGGAGCCCAGGCTGGCTGTGTGTAAGGTTAAGTGCTTCACCTGCTGTAATCTCTGTCCCTGACACATATCCTATCATCACTTCCACTCATCATTACTTTCAATCAAGGACTAAAGAAATGCCACCACATCACCTGATTGGTCTTTCTATCTGCAGGTGCTCATGTGACAAAGCTGAACCATTAGAAAACTCTGCACTTGATAGCAGAAGTCAACCAAGATCTCTGGGTTGCAAAATTCTGTCAATGGATCTGAAGAGAAAGATCTAAAACCCTATGTCTATTCTAATTCTTTCATTCTTTTAAATTTATTTCTAGCACAGTGGCTCATTATTTTAACTATTATCTTCGTCTTTTTTTTTCTTTCTATTTTTAGTGCTGGGGGATTGTACCCCAGGGCCTTGAGTGCTCTACCACTGGGCTACATCCCTACACAGCAGCATGATGGCATCAAAGTGGCACCATAGATCAAACTCTCTTCCTATTTAATGTATCCCTGTTAAACATGCTGACCAAGCTAAGATGAATTCACCGATTTTAAGTTAAAATTGACTAGAATTAAATTTTATAAGCATATAGGGCCAGAGATGTAGCTCAGTGGTAGAACATATGTATGAGGCCTGGGTTCGGTCCTTAAAACCAAACATAAAGACTTGGAAGGCTCGGAAGATGGTGGAAGGGCTGCAGCAGGCTGTGCAGGAAGGACTGGGATCCCTCCTCAGGATCCCATGGCTCTCCATAGCCCTCTGAGCAGAGAGGAGACCCTGCAGCACCGCTGGGGGTAGCAGAGTGTGTCCCATCCCTGCCCCAAATGAAAGGTTTTGGAGAACTCTAATTGTCTTTGAAAGAAGCTTGTTTTTTCCACAGAAATCAAGTGACAAAGAGTTTAAGTAAATCTGTAAGAAGATATATTTGCAAATCAGGATTTTCTATACTAGTAACACTGTAGCACTGTCCTCCCGTTGTTCACTGATTTGCTCAAGTGGGCACCAGTAACGTCTCCATTGTGAGACTTGTTGTTACTGTTTTTGGCATATCGAATACACCACGAGGAGCTTGCCAGGCTCTTCCGTCAAAACAAAAAAACTTGAGTCAGCTGGAGGTTAAATGTGACGATGCTGTCTTGTTAGATAAAGGCCACCACAAAATTTAATATTCTTAGTGAACCAATGAAACATCTTAAGGCTGTCCTAGAGAAAAATTTAGATGTATTTGCTTATGGTTGAAATATCTCATTATCTAAAGCATTGCTAAAGATGACATATTTTACTATATGATAAATTTGCTTTCAGTATAATTAACTTTCTCTGTAATACTATGCACCATGCTTATTTCAAAATTGGATTAAAAAAATAAGGTCCATAAGCTTTAGACTGCCTTTAAAATTCCTTGGCACAGAAACAGTTAAGAATATTTTTGCCTTAGAGCGAAAACAAAAGGGAATGCCCTGCCACAGAGGCAGGGTGGGATGGGGGGATGGATGTGGGAGGGATACTGGGATCCATGGTGGTAAATCTACAAGTGTAACTCATGGTGTTCCAAAAAAGAATATTTTTGCCCTAGCAAAGTAAAGTAAAGTAAAGGCCCTCCCGTTGTTCATCGATTTGCTCGAGCGGGCCCAGTAACGTCTCCATTGGAGACTTTGTTGTTACTGTGTCTGGCATATGGAATACGTCACGGGGGGCTTGCCAGGCTCTGCCGTGCGGGCGAGATACTCTCGGTAGCTTGCCGGGCTCTCCGAGAGGGGCGGAGGAATCGAACTCGGGTCGGCCATGTTGGCTGCGTGCAAGGCAAACGCCTTACCGCTGTGCTATCGCTCCAGCCCTTTTTGCCCTAGACTCTTAAATAAATGCAACAGCTTTAAGATAATCAGGTTAATGACAAATATTCTTTGTGCCATATGTCACAACCTACTATAGCCTCATGCCCCAACTGAATAAAATTTTCACTGGAACCTGAGAGATGAGCATTCTTTTAGTACCAAAGGTATTAATACATACTGGATTATTCAACCGTTTGTGACTTTCTATGCTGCACCTTTATTAAGTGCACTGTTTATACGCCTTGGAGACACTTACCATCAGTAGAATGCACATGGGAGCTGCCAATCTGGTCCACGAGCAACATGAACACGAAGCCCAGGACGAGGGAGACTCCAATGTAGGCATGCAGCTGAGAGTGGTCATGGCTGTGCTCATGCTCATGGGCAGCTGGAATTGCTTTTTCTTTTTCTGATGCAATCACATTCTGCGTTTCACTCGACTGGTGGTGTTTTCCTAGAGCAGAAGAGAATAAATAGAAAATGTGCTTTCCGCCTTCACACATTTGTCACAGGGGCTGGGAAGATTTACTATAAGGCACACGCCTTGCATGCAGTCAACCCCGGTTTGATCTCCAGCATCAGCCGGTCCCCTGAGCATTACCAGATGCAACCCAACTAGCCCTCTTGAGCACTGCTGGGGTGGCGCAGGTAATCCTTGCCACTGCAAGGCCCAAGCAGCACTACATCCTTGGGCCCTTGCAATGAACCCCTGGGTTCACTAAGTGCTGCTTGGGAAGACCCCTACCAAAAAAATTTTTTTTTCTTTTTTCTTTTTCAAATTTGTTTTATTCCACACAGAAGCTGCCATTCTTTTTGTATTTCAAGTCCTACTGCAAAGACATACATTTCCTTTGTTGTAATCTGGCCCATCATAAACTCCTATTTAAAACAGATGAGAGGCTTTTCTCCCTGCGCCATAGACCAGTAGGCAGCAGTCATGGTGCCCAGCTGGAATGGCAGAATCCTGAAGTCCCACTTCCACCAGGACTGGCAGTAGCGCGTGGCCACGTGGTTCAAGCAGCTGGTGCAGAAGATCTGCAGGTGCAAGGCCCTGAGGGCCCGGGCGCGGTGCTTGGCACAATGAGCACTGTCTGACCTTGTGATACCACATAAAGGCACATGCCAGCCAGGGCTTCAACCTGGACGACTTGCGAGTGGCCGGCATCCACAGAGGCTGGCACACATCCTTGGCATCACTGTGGACCCGCGTCGTCACAAGTCTACCAAGTCCCAGCAGGCCCACTGCTCTGAGGCCATCCTCTTCCATGGAGGCCTGCGGCCCCCAAGAAGGGTGACAATATGGCTGAAGAACTGAAACTGGTCAAACAGCTGACTGACCCCGTCATGCCCATCCACAATGTCTAAAAGAAGGAGAAGGCCAGGATGATCACAAAGGAAGAGAAGAAGTTCAAGGCCTTTGCCAGCCTTCACATGGCCCAACCCTGCTTTTTGGCATCCAGGCAAAAAGGGCCAAAGAAACTGCTGAATAGGATGTTGAAAAGAAGAAATAAGGGGCTGGAGCAATAGCACAGCGGGTTTGCCTTGCACGCAGCTGACCTGAGTTCGATTCCCAGCATCCCATATGGTCCTCTGAGCACCGCCAGGAGTAATTCCTGAGTGCAGAGCCAGGAATGACCCCTGTGCACTGCCGGGTGTGACCCAAAAAAGGGAAAAAAAGAAAAGAAAAGAAGAAATAAAATCCCTTTTTGGAGCTGGGAAAAAAGAAATAAAATACACGAAAGAAAAATCTCCTATATAATTTCTTATTTCTGGCTGCAGCCTGATGACTATTATTCTCAAAACGTATGAAGTAGAAGCAAATGACCACACTAGGAGCTGGGAGAGATGGTATGGAGTAAGGCGCTTGCCTTGCATGTGCTGACCCTAGTTCAATCCCTGCATTTCCTGAGCACTGGCAAGAGTGATTCCTGAGCACAGAGTCATGGGGAAACCCACAACACCGCCAGGTATGGTCCAAAACAAAAACAAAAATTACCACACAAAAGTCATGTTTCTGGGGGATATTATCCCCCAATTCTCTTGCTGAGAAATTCATGTTTATTGTTTCTATTCTGATGAAAATAGGTGAAGAACAGTAACAATGAAAATAATTAAAATAAAAACACCTAATTTTATACCAATGTTTATATAAAAATCACAATAAAGAGCTAATATAAAACATTTAGGTTTACTTATTTATTTTTAAATTTTTAATTGGATCACTGTGAGACAGACCCTTACAAAGCTGTTCATAATTGGATTTCATTTATACAGTATTCTAACTCTCATCCCTCAACCAGTGTACATTTCCCAGCACCAGTCCCCTGGTTTCCTCCCATCAACCCCCAGGTCCCCATTTAGCATTAATTTTAGGTCTGAGAAGATGATATAGGGGTTAAGGCTTTGTACATAATGAACCTGGATTAGATTCCTGACACCACATACACCCCCCCAGCACTCAGGAGTGATCCCTGAGTGCAGAGTCAGGAGTAAGCCGTGAGTACCACTAGGTGTGGCCCCAAACAAAATAAAACATACAGCTTTTAAAAAGATTATGAGGGGGCTGGAGCAATAGCACAGCGGGAAGGGTGTTTGCCTTGCACGCGGCTGACCTGAGTTCTATTCCCAGCATCCCATATGGTCCCCTGAGTGCCCCCAGGAGTAATTCCTGAGTGCAGAGCCAGGAATAACCCCTGTGCATTGCTGGGTGTGACCCAAAAAGGTAAAGGTAAAGGTAAAGGCCCTCCCGTTGATCGTCGATTTGCTCAAGCGGGCCCAGTAACGTCTCCATTGGAGACTTTGTTGTTACTGTGTCTGGCATATCGAATACTCTCGGTAGCTTGCCGGGCTCTCCGAGAGGGGCGGAGGAATTGAACTCAGGTCGGCCATGTTGGCCGCTTGTAAGGCGAACGCCCTACCGCTGTGCTATCGCTCCAGCCTAAAAAGCAAAAAAAAAAAAAAAAAAAAGGATTATGAGAAAAGTCAATAGACACTGAAAAGGCAGAACAGTTTAAGAGGAGCATTTTTCCATTTACATTCAGTTCTAAATCTATGGTGATTGGCCATGAACTAAGAACTCCCTGATGGAGAATTAGGGCAAAACCTAAAGTATTACAGCAGTATTACATGCAGTTCCTTTGATCATAGGCAGAAATGCTTAATTAAAAATGACAAGACAGTACTTTAACCCCTATTCGTTAAATATAGCAAAGACAGGGATTGAAAACACTTGCTGGTGTCATATACGTGGGGGCCAGGACGACAGTACGGCCTTGCATGTGGACAACCTGGGTTCGATCCCCAGCATTTCATATGATTCCCCTAAGCCTGCCAGGAGTGATGCTTGAGCGCAGAGTCAGGAATCACCCCAGAGCACAACAGAGTGTGGTTGCCCCCCTACCCCCGCAAAAACAAACAAAAAGTGACTATAAACTAGAAGGATCTTAGTTGGCCAGGTGTCACATGCTATCAATCAGACTCACGGGAATCTTGACAGTCTGAGCATCACAAAAATGTATGTGATCCCTGGAGAGCACCATACTAAAACGAGTGCTTTAGCTAAGAGCATGAGCCCTAGTGAGCGCGAATGCAAGCACCTGCAACTGTGTGTAAGCTCAGTGAGTGCCACAAACTGCTGTGTGACCACCAGGGAGCGCCAGAGCTTAAAAACAGAAAAGAGCCATAGTGCGGGCACTGTGCGTACAACTGCAACAGGAACATCAACAACAAAGGCAAAGGGAGGAAGACCTCGGCTAGCCAATGAACTTCCACTTTATCTGTGGTCTTCCCCCTCCCTTTCTTTTTGCTGCTGTTGCTGCAATGACCAGGTGTCCACCGGCTTGGCTGAAGTGCTGGCTGGGGGCTCGCTGTGGTGCTTCTGCATGTGGCTGCTAAAGGCGCACCCCTGGCTACTGTACTCACACATCTATACCTACTATGCAGGAGTCGCCCCTTCAGTCGGCACAACCTGACTGCAGGGCACACACCTGACTGCACTAGAGATTGCTCAGTTCATGGTGGCACCTGCGATCCAGATAGTAGAGCGGCCAGGCATGTGGGCAGCTCTGGAGATCAAACCCAGGGCCTCATGTTTGTGCAAGGCAGGAGCTTTATGCCACGTGGCCACCCATTCCCCTGAATGTAGAGTACAGAGTCAGCGGTTCCTGTACTACTCCTGGTAGTGCTTGGGTGACCAAAGATGCTGCGTGTCAAACCCAGGGCTGCAACGTGCAAAACATGCACTCCTGTCCCTTTTTCTCTTTTCATTTTCTATATTTGTCCATTCCTGGTTCTTTTAAAATGCTGGCCTGGGTGCTGAGGGTGTATCTTAGCTGAAGAGCAGTGGCCTTGCATGTATGACGCCCGAGGCTCATCCCCAGCACTATGGGGGGGGGGGGGGGGGAAGCTAGCCATGGGCCAAAAAGGTCATTCAAAGGGGTGCCTTGTATGCATGCTGCCCAAGTTTGATAACTGGCACCGCATGGTCCCCCAGGTGCAGCTCTGGTGTGTCTTGGCACTGCTGGGCTGTGTGCTTGGCCCCAAGCACCAAACCACCAACTCCACAGAGCTAGAATTGACCCAGGGCCCCTAAGCACCACTGGGGAGTCTCCTATTAAAAATTTAAAGCAACAACAATAAAATGCTAGCCACCAGTTAAACTCAGTCTTGGCTGTGTTGCGAGCCAGAGTCAAACATTTTATCTGCTGTGCTCGCACATGTTTGGCTGTGGTATGCTGGAGCACAAACGATGCCATGTCCTAGAGTAGTGCACCAGGACTGCACTTGGCATACATGGGGCGGTGCTGCGGATCCTACTCACGGACTCATACTGGCGAGACAGGCACCCTGATAATCCCAGGTCCCTTATTTCTGTAAATTTTTTGGTTTGGGTTCTTTTATTTGCACCTGGCTTTTGAGTTATACCCGGCAGTGTTCAGGGCTTCATGAAGTCTCTTCAGCCCCACTTCTGTAATTTTTTTATGAGGTATTTTATTTCAAAAGTTATAATTTATTATTTTCTAGGCAAAAAGACCTTCACAGTGAAAATAAAACAGAATATTTTATGTTTGTTTTAAGATAATTTTGTACATGCCTCTTTACAAATACAGCTTTATTATTTTATGGTTTTGGTTTATGGGAACATATATGGCAGCAATGTGTCCTGGTGTGGTACTTGGGGGGTCGCAGCTGTCTCCTGCCTGCATGAACTCTAATCTTATGAGCTATTTTCTGGGCCCCATAAATTCAGCTCTAACAGGTAAACAGATGTACAGGCTGTTAGGTAAAAAGGCCACAGTAGGGATTTAGGTGAGAGTGTGGGTTAATACCTTATTAAAATGTGTTTGTAGTTGTTTTTTTTTTTAAGTTGTTTGTAGTGATACTATTATTTGTGAATGGTTGCGTAATTATCTTTAGTTATGTGGGCCACACTTGGCAGGTTAGCAGCACTGGGGG